TATGCCCCCATTCCCCCCACCCCCCAACACACCCAGCCTCTTTCCATTTTATATTGAATGTTCCGAGGATTTGGACAAAAGTGTAATGGCATGTGTCCATCATTATAGTATTATATAGAGAGGTTTCCCCACCCTAAACAAATCCTCTCTTCTCCACCTGTGCATCCGGCTCTCACCCCATCCCTGGCAACCACTGAACATTCTACTGTCTCCACAGTTTTGCCTTTTCTAGAACGTCATAGAGTTGGAATAATATATGATGTAGCTTTTTTAAAGACTGGCTTTTTTCACTGAGTATGCATTAACGTTTCCTCCATGTCGTTTATGGCTTTATAGTTCATTTCTCTTTATCCTATATAATAAAGAGCTAATATGCTAATTATACTGAACAGCAGAACGACCGTCCGGACGACCTTCTGGAAGACCTTCAGGACGAAGGCGGGGCTGCAAGGGCTGAGCCCCTTGTACGAATTTTGTGCATTAGGCCTCTAGTCACTGAATAATATTCCATTGTTTAAAGGTTCCACAGTTTATTTACTCATTCACCTGCTGAAAGACATATTGGTTGCTTCCAAGTTTGGGCAAGCCTATATAATAAAGGGCTAATATGCAAATTGACCAAACAGCAGAACGACCAATCACTATGACGCGCACTGACCACCAGGGGGCAGACACTCAACACAGGAGCTGCCCCCTGGTGGTCAGTGTGCTCCCACAGCGGGAGCGCACTCAGCCAGAAGCCAGGCTTATGGCTGGTGAGTGCAGTGGGGGTGGCGGGAGCCTCTCCTGCCTCCGCAGCAGTGCTAAGTCATCAGTCAGGCATCCCCCGAGGGCTCCCGGACTTCAAGAGGGCGCAGATGGGACTGAAGGACCCCCCACCAAGTGCACGAATTTCGTGCACCAGGCCTCTAGTTATGAATAAAGCTTCTGCACACATCTGTGTGCAGGTTTTTGTGTGGAAATAAGTTTTCAATTCCTTTGGGTAAATACCAAAGAGTGATTGCTAGATTATAGGGTAAGAGTATGTTTAGTTTTATAATAAACCACCCAGCTGTCTCCCACAGTGGCTGGCTGCACCGGGTGGGAACCAGCAGTGACTGTGAGTTCTGGTTGCTCCACACCCTGGCCAGCTCTTGGTTGTCAAGTGTTCCTGATTGTGGCCCTTCTAATAGGTGTGAAGTCGTGTCTCGTGGTTGTTTTAATTTGCACCCCCCTGGTGCATGGGATGTGGAGCATCTTTTCATATGTTTATTTGCCATATTTACCTCTTCTTTGGTGAGGTGCCTGTTAAGATCTTTGGCCCACTTTTCAATCGGGTTGTTTGTTTTCTTATTGTTGAGTTTTGAGTGTTCTTGTATATTTTAGATGTACCTCCTTTTATCAGATACATGTTTTGAAAATATTCCCTCCAGTTTGTTGTTCACAAGTTGTATCTTTACCTTTTTCTTCTTCCTCCAGAAGTTCTAATCTTAAAGAAATTAAATGAAGTTTAGCTTATCAATGATGTTTTTTCATGGATTGTGTGCCTTTGGTGTTATATCTAAAAAGTCATTGCCATATCCAAGGTCATCAGAGTTTTTCCTGTTATCTTCTAGCAGTTTTATAGTTTTGCACGTTACATTTAGGTCTGTGATCTACGGTGAGTTAATTTCTGTGAGAGGTATGAGGTCCGTGTCTAGATGTAATTTTTTGCACATTGGTGTTCAGCAGTTCCAGCACCAATTGTTAAAAATATCATCTTTACTCCATTCTATTGCCTTTGCTCTTTTGTCAAAGATCAGTTGAGTATATTTATGTGGCTCTCTTCCCGAGTTCTCTATTCCATTCCATTGATCACTTTGTTGTTTCAAGAATACCACAGAGTCTTGATCACTATAGGTTTAGAAAAACTGTGTTCTTCTCCTTCAAAATTGCATTGGCTATCTGGGTCTTTGTCTCTCCATATACTTTAGAATCTGTTTGTCGATATTCACAAAATAACTATCTGGGATTTTGATTGAGATTTCTTTGAATCTATAGATTAAGTTGGGAAGAACTGACATCTTGACAATATTGAGTCTTTTTATCTATGAGCATGGAATATATCTACATTTCTTTAGTTCTGTGATTTCTTTCTTCAGAGTTTTGTAGTTTTCCTCATGTAGATCTTGTACATATTTTGTTTGATTTATATCTAAGTATTTAATTTTGGTATTCTGTAAATAGTATTCTGCTTTTAATTTCAAATTCCACTTGTTCTTTGCTGGTATGTAGAAAACAGATTGCCTTTTGTATATTAATCCTGTATCCCATAACCTTGCTATGATCACTTACTGTATTAGCTCCAGGAGGTGTGTGTGTGTGGGGGGGGGGGGGTTGTTTGTTAATTCTTTTGAATTTTCTACATAGATGATTATATCATCTGCAAACAGACAGTATTATTTCTTTCTTCCCAATTTGTGTATTTTATTTCCTTTCTTATGTCATTAGCTAGGACTTCCAGTCTGATGTTGAAAAGAAGTAGAGAGGGGCATTCCTGCCTTATACCTGATCCTAGTGGGAGAGGGTCAAGTTTCTCACCGGTAAGTATGAAGTTAGCTGTAGGGTTTTTTGTAGATATTCTTTATCAGGGTGGAGGAAATTGTGCTTCCCTGTGCCTGCCCCACTTCCCGTCTGCATGAGGGTCTTACCCTCAGGGAGGGTGAGATCAGTGGGAGCCCTGGCTGGCTGGCAGCGCTGCCACATGGCGGGCGGTCAGGGCCATGCAGAGCCACACCGCTGACCCTGGGGGCCAACCCTGGCAGGTACCCACAGTGCATGCCCCCCCCTGCGGTGGCCCTTTCTCCTGTTTTTATTTATTTTTTCCTCAGGGACTCTTATAAGACAACTTGCCTTAGGAAGTTGGGGTCAGCATATCTTCCCTGTGCCTGCCCCAGAAAGACCCAGGTCAGCCTGGCCCTGCTGGTGGGCCAGACCCAGGTGCCCATCACACACAGCAGTCACATAGATGCACACTTGCACTCACACTTGCACTCACTGTCACACTCATGCATGGTGGCTCCACGCAGCCTTCCTCGGGACCCCCACACATCACTGCTGCCTCCCAGAAGCATCCTCTCCTGTGTGACTCACACTCTGGAGGTGGACCCCACCCAGACTGTAGGTGGGGGTCTTGAGAGGAAAGGCCTTGGGTCAGGGCTCTTGGCCAACTTTGGCCGCAGAGTCAGGCTCCGCCAGGCAAAGTGGATGTACGGGGAAGTCATGCATGCACCGGTCTCTCCTTGAGCTGGTGCCTGCCCTCCTGTGTCCGGCAGTGACCACACGCTGCGTGGGGACGTAGCCTGGCCCTCTGCCCCAACGCTCAGCACTCCTGGCTCCTAGGGCATGGGAGCCTGAGACTAGTGGCCCCCACATGCTCCGTATTGCATGCGAGGGCTTGGGCAGGTCCAGGCACACGGTCAGGTCAGGCCCGGCTCCGGCCCAGGGTCAGCATCATGGACTGCAGGGCCTCTGGTCCCTCCTGTGTCCCCACCTGGGCTCCTGCCACCGAGGGGCCTCCAGATGCTGGGATGTCAGTCAGAACTCGTGCTCTGTGACACTGATGGCCCAGGAGGAGGACACACGAGCGGTTCTGACTGGGCTCCTGAGGGGCGTGAATGGAAGGGACGCCGCATGAGCCTCCGGGTGTTTAGAAGGCAGGTGGGGCCGGTGGGACCATGCTAGCTTGAGCATCTGTGGGTTGAGAAAGCAGACCTCCCGCCAGTGGTCCCCCCCTCACGAGGCTGCTCTCCAGGTCACCCCAGTGTGGACACACCAGGAGGGGGGAGAGCCCCTGCACTTGGAACCTTCAGCTGGAACCCCCGCCTCCTGGAAACACTGCATGGCACCCTTGGTCTGTGCTGACTTGGTTCCCAGAAGCCCCATGCAACAGCCTCAGCCGAGCTGTCACATCCAAGCCCCAGCCAACCTGGGGGACTGGGTGTGAGTTGCTGTATTGAGTGTCAGCACAGACGTGGAAACCACAGGACCGATCCGGCTAAGCCAAGTCCTCCAGGAGGCACAGCCCCTCTCACGTTCTGCTCTTCTAGGAGTGTTTCTGGGCTGGTTCTGATGAGGGTGAAGCTGCAGGGGACAGCCCGGTGCACAGCTTTCTTTTCCCTATTGCCCGTGCCCTGCTCCTGTGGATCCCCGCGGGGGGTCCGAGCGTGGGGAGGATGAGTGATGGGGTGAGGACATGTTCTAAGCATGGGATGAGGATGGGGTGCGGGGCAAGGTTGCAGGTGGGCTCAGAACCCCCGACCCCTTCACAGCAGGCTCCTTGCCCCTCCTCCTGCCATGCTGGTTTGGGATGGTCCCTGCTGCATCCTGCCTGCCCTCCCCGCACCCCACGGCCTGCAAGCTTGTTGAGGGGATGGTTTAGTGGTTTATGGCCAACATGTTCTGGCCCAACGTGTGTCTGGATAAGATGGGGCATCCGTCCACCTCCCCGGCCAGCAGAGCCCAGAGGAGCAGAGCAGGTGCCAGGGGCATGACTCGGTTTCCCCTTTGTGCTCTGCACACAGCCTCACAAGGTGTCTTTTTCCTCTTCACAGAGAGAGTGGTCACAGAGGTGGGGCTCCTCCAGCTGCTCGGGGAGCCCCCGCCCCAGCAGGTCACCCAGATTGACGACCCCGATGTGGGACCAGCCTACGTCTTTGGTCCGGATGCCAACAGCGGCCAGGTGGCCCGGTACCACTTCCCCAGCCCGTTCTTCCGTGACTTCTCGCTGTTCTTCCACGTGCAGCCGGCCACCGAGGCCGCGGGGGTGCTGTTCGCCATCACGGATGCAGCCCAGGCCGTGGTCTCCGTGGGCGTGAAGCTGTCGGGTGTGAGCGACGGCCAACAGTACATCCAGCTCCGTGTACACCGACCCGGGCGCGGCCCGGACACACCACGGCGGCCAGCTTTGCCCTGCCCGCCTTCACCGGCCAGTGGACGCGCTTTGCCCTCAGTGTGGACGATGACACCGTGACGCTGTTTGTGGACTGCGAGAGGATCCAGGGGGCGTCCTTGGCGCGGTCCCCACGCGCCCTGGAGCTGGAGCCCGGCTCCGGCTTCTTTGTGGCTCAGGCCGGAGAAGCGGACCCCGACAAGTTCCAGGTAACTGTGGCTGCTGCTTGAGGACTGGACCAGCCCTGGGGGAGTGGCCATCGGTCCCTACCTGGCTTCAGGCCCCAGGGTCTGCCTGGCCCCAATGTGTCTTATTCCCTGGTGCTCTGGCCCCTTGGGGTCTCTCTGCAGCCCCCTTGGGACCATCTTTCTAACTGCCACCATCTGCACGAGGCAAGCCAAGGGCCCCGTGGTCCATAATTAAGAATTTTAAGATGGCAACAGCAGAGGGTGGAAGCAGGCCTGGGCCCTTCTGGGGATAAGCTGTACCCCATGAACACGGCACACCCGCTGGGCCGGGCCAGGGCTTCATGCCCGGTGCCAGCATCAATTGTGCTGTTGTTATTATTTTACCAAATTGCTCAGCGGCCACTCAGAGCGGTGTGGGCAGGACTTCCCTAGCAGTGCTGTCTCCACTGTGTCCCCAGGAGGTCCCCACTCCCTGGGCCGGACCCTGGCCTTCATCTGGGGTGAGGCCAACCCCAGAACTTGGGTGGGTTCTTTGTCCTGGGCCCTCGGCCCCTACACGTGGAACCTTTAGCTGGACCCCGGCCTCCTGGAAACACGGCGTGGGCACCCTCGGTTCGAGCTGACTCAATGCTAACATTACAGCCGGTCTGCAGCTGGCCCGCCCCGCACAGGGGTCCCTGTGTAGGCTGACGGGCGACGTGCTTCAGGGGACAGAATGTTAATTATTACCCAGACAAAAGCTGCTTGATGAGAGTTGTTCTAAGTCCTGGTGATTCGGCTTCTGAGAGCTGGCCTTTCCCCTTTGGCAGGAACTTTCACCCGTGGGGTCTGGGGGCCAGCAGGACTTTGATACCAAACTGGGCCTCTTTGTGTTTTCATTTTGATCCTCAAACATGATTAACTGGAAGGCGTCACAGAGAGACGTCTCATCCAGGGAGGGGCCGTGTTCGCTGGCAGTCTGCTGTGTGACCTCCCGGGCATTTCTAGACGGGAAAGTATGCCATTGTTCCATCCGTCTTTGCGGGTTTAACAGAAAACTGACCGTGGGGCTGCCCAGGGCTCAGGGTGCTCAGGGCGGCCACACCCCTCCTGCAGGGAGGAGACCACAGGCTTCCCCCCAGGCCTGGCCAGGGCCACACGTCATTCGTGCAAAAACGTGACTGCCAGTTGGGTGCATCAGAAGCTGCATCTGGGGGTTTTAATGGGCGTTTCTTGCTGTGAGTGAAGACAGGCTTCGATTTTATTTTCATGTGTCTATTGGCTATTTGTATTTCTTCTCTTGTGACTGGCCTGCTTATGTTCTTTGCATTTCTGTTTTGATGGGTTCACGCCATTTCCTGTTGGTTTTTACAAACTCTTTACATATGAAAGAAACCTACCCTTTGCTTTGTGTACTGCAGATATTACTTCCCAGTTTGTCTTTTGCCTTTTTAAAAAATATATATATTTTTTTATTGGTTTCAGAGAGGAAGGGAGCAGCAGAGAGAGATAGAAACATCAATGTTGAGAGAGAATCATTGTTCGGCTGCCTCCTGCACACCCCCTACTGGGGATCGAGCCCGCAACCTGGGCATGTGCTCTTGACGGGAATCAAACCTGGGACCCTTCAGTCCGCAGGCCAACGCTCTATCCACTGAGCCAAACCGGCTAGGGCTGTCACTTGCCTTTTTACCTTGCATTTTTTAAACACCATTGGGATATTTAAAGTGTTTGTGTGGTTTAATCTGGCCCGGGGAAGAGTCCTAAGACATTGTATCCTAGCCAGGTCTTTGAGGTTAGAAAGACAGAAAGGGAGAGTTTAAGGCTGATGTTTGGCTCTGGGCTGTGGCCCTGATTCCTGTCCACTGTGTCACATTCAGTGCAGGCGAGGTCTGACTCCTGTGTCTGCGCAGACGAGAAGTTTGAGGAGTGTTCTGTGTGGGTTTCTGGCCCGATTCCAGCTAGGTGAGGGGAGCAGCCTGTTGTCTGACGAGACTGATTAGTACAAGGTGTTTCAGACGTTTGCCTTGAGATTCTTAGGAAAGAATCACTCAAGTTGAGTGATTTATATCATTTGGCAGAAACGAAAGCTCAGGGGTGTCCTCCCGACGGGTCCTGTGGCTCCTTACAGAACCTTTATTCTTTTCTCCTGTCAGAAAATTCTGGAACCTCATTGGTCTTTCAGGTTTATTCTTGTCAGATTTGGTTATAAATATCCCTTGGAAGCGGTTTGTTCCACGCAGTCATTACACTGTTTTGCTTGTTAACATGCTACGTCCGACTCTGGTTCAGTGTCTATGTATCTACCTCCCCCTTTTTACCCGTGCAGATGCCACTGTTCCATATGTCTTTGCCGGTCCTTTCCCTGTTTGCTTCTTTGTGAAGCCACCTTCCTCTTAGTCGGGGGTTTCCTTTATGGTTCTGTCTCGGCCTCAGGGTCTGTTGTCAGACGAACTGCCCTCGGATCCCTTGGACCCTTGTCCGCAGCCTCCAGGCAGGCGGGGCCGGGCCTGACCTGTTCCTGGCACATCCCGCGGTCACTCCGTGTGTTCAGTGAGGAGTGCGGACATTGTCACCGTTGCTCACCTGCGGCTTTGTTGGCTGGATTACATACACCAGCGCTTGGTCCACGGAAGCCAAGGGCTTGCCCACCGGCCACCTGGGCTTGGGCCACCTGGGCTTGGGCCACCGAGGATGGCGGGGAGCAACAGGGGGAGTGTGAGCGTCTCCAACCCCCGAGTCCTCCCCCCACCATGGCCACACTCCTGACCAAGGGGGTGCTGGGGCCCCCCAGGTCATGCTGACCAAACGCTTGGAACCCTGTCACTCATGGGAAGTAGGGTTTTGATCATCACACGCATCTTTAAGACATGTAGCCCATGGTGTAGCAGTGGCAGGACATAGTTTAAATGGTCTTTATTAATGAAATCTCTGGATTTCCTAACGTGGTTCTAAGTTTGTTCAATATTTGCAGTGGGTCTTGTGGCTTTTGCACCAGTGATGTCTTCCCCAGCTAACTCTGTCCTCGGGAAGTTGCCAGCCCCAGCCGTGGCTGGGATCTGAGCTTTCCTGCCCTCGTCATTCAGGCCTTTGTGGGCCTGGTCTCTCGGAGGCTCCGAGCCTCGCAGGCAGTGTCAGTGAGTGGATGGTCATGGGGGACATACAGCACCCTGACCCCCTACCTGCCAGAAGCGCCCCTGCCCAACCCTCACACACAAAGTGCCACCAAGGGGCATTCCAGGATTTTAACATCTGGCCCTCCGGCCGTCTCTTTGAGCTCTCAACCTGGGTGACTGTCACCTGGGGTTCTCCTGCCCCTCCCTCAGCGGGGCTCGTGGGCCAACAGTTTGCATCTCAGATGTGATGCTGCTGCTGACCCCAGAGGCTGACCCTTGCAATTTTAAGTCCAGACTGGCCTACACTCCCTTTGGGTGATGGCACCCTTAGAGCCTGGGTGGTGGTGGACACTGGGGTGTGTGCCTCCCCCACACCCGTGCCCATATGCGTGCACATGCACACTCATAAAACCATGCACATATCCACATAACACACGAGCCTGTAACGTACACACACACACAGGTACACTGTCCCACAGGCCTCATCGTCAGTAGTGGAGGTGGGTGGGGGAACATGGAGTCAAGCAGAACTGGCCCCCAGAGAGGCTAACCAGCCTGGGGAGAGAATCCAGGGGTACTTCCTGGAGGAGGCAGCCTGAGCGGAGCCTCGAAAGATGAGTGGAGCTCCAGGTGCGGGCTTAGCTGGGTGTTTGGTGGTTGGTGATCACATGTCCCTTGTTGGTGCAGAATAGGAAGGTCATGAGCTCAAGGGTCAGCTGATAAAGGGAGTCCGAAGGGCATTTGGAGGAATAAACTGACCGAGGCCGGAGTCTGCACATGGCCCTCGGACAGGTCCAGCCCACCACCCGTTTTCATACAGCCTGTAAGCTAGCCAGCCTTCCCGTGCTTAAATGGATAGGAAAAAAAGAACATTTTGTGACACGTGCAAGTCTTATGAAGTAAACGGTTGGTGTCCCTACAGTTTGGTTGGACAGTCACGCCCCGTCTTTTACATACTGTCCTGGTCGATTTCCTGGTACAACACAGTCCTTGTGACAAAGGCCTGGACATACTGACCAACTGGCCCTTTCCAGAGAATGTCCGCTGACCTCTGACCTAGACTTTCTGTGAAGGGTGTTAAAATGTGCTTCTTAGAACTGAGCAGCTGCCTTCTGTTCTGCTCTGTGCCCGCCGCGTGGCCCGTGCACTGATAAGCCTCTGGGTGGTTTCCCGGGAAAAGGAGGACACGTGGAGAGGAAGGAACATGCTGCTTTATGGTCTCTATTTGGTCTCTATTTAGGAACAATTGCACTGAGGTCAATCCCAGTGGATCAAGATGTTAAGTCGAACACAGAAAATGCTAGAGAAAGCACTGAGAACACTCCCAGTTTCCAGTGGGGAAGCCTTTTAGGAAGTGGCATCGAAGACAGAACTCAGTGCACGGCAGAGCCTGCTTGTGCTGTGTCCCAGGGACATCGCATGGCACAGGCACAGGATCCGCCTGGGTTTGCAGGAGCCCCGTGGGCGCTGGGAGGCCCCTGGGCCCCAGCTTCACCTACTTGGCTCCAAGAGTCGGCTGAGATCCAGACACTGCACTTGGTGCCACCCTTTGCTCCTCTACCCTTTGGAGATCAGAGAAGGCCCCAGTGCAGCCAGGGTTGAGTCCTCATCATCTCTGCTGTCCCCAACTGGCATCCTGCCTCATGCGTAGGGCCCCCTATTGAGTAGGTGCCCCATGTCCTCTCCACAGGGTGGACCCTCTGTACTCACAGTTCAGGACATTGCCCCACCTGTGTCTGCTGCCCTCCCGGCCTCCCCCCACCCAGTGCCATCTGCCTCATATTCCTCAGGGGCACCACTTTCAGTGACACACCTCATCTTTTTCTTACCTGGGCACGATCGCCTCTAAGATCCACACTCAGCCTTAAGATGGCAGGGCCCTGTTCACCGCCGTGTCCTGGCGCTCTGGTGCCCGGCGCAGGGCTGAGAGCATGTGATGGAGCCTGTGTGGGAAGGAGGGATGGAGAGGGTGAGTGAGTAAATGAATGAGTGAGTGAACGGGTGAAATTGACCTGACCGAGGAGCCCATGTGCACAGAGAACCAAGAGCTCACTCCAGTCGCTATGGGCTGTTTTGTCCTCTGCTTCTCACTTATTTTATGAAAAGGTGACGTTGCAAAGAGAGTTAAGACCTGGATTCCGACCAGTTAATCCAACTGTTTCCTGCTGCGCCTGAGGTTTGCCCAGGAGCAGCACTGGCCTGACCCAGGGCACGGCCCCTCTCATGCTGGTTTATGTCACCTGAAATTTTGACCTCATGATGCCAGGCTCTGTGTCAGGGTCTCTCTGTGCCCCCCCGCCTGCCCCAGGACTGCCCATGACCTCTCTCTCCCTCTGCGTGTAGGGGATGATCGCGGAGCTGAGGGTGCGCAGTGACCCCCAGGTGAGCCCCATGCACTGCCTGGAGGACGATGACGACGACGATGACGGGGTGAGTCTCCCCCCTCCGCCCCCACCCTCACCCGGTGGGAGGAGAGCCCCAGCCAACAGGGGCCCAGGAACCCCAAAGTGATCCCAAAGTGATGGGACGAGAAAGGTCTCTGAAAGATGCCGTTTCAGGTACCAGGAACCTGGTACGTTTTCAGCGCCTCCCCTGGAACTCTCCACTCAAAACACACGCAAAGTGAATGCTGGGTGGACACTGGCCCCAGGACAGCCCGGAGGTGATAGTTGTTAGCACTGCAAACGTGTGTCAGTGTGTGAGTGCACACAGTCAGGTGGGACCTGAGGAGGCACGTCCACCTGTTCCTGGGTGTGGACAGATAGGAGGAAGGCCGTGTCCTGGGGGAGGCTCCAGGCCACAGACCTGCCCCTGTGGACACAGCTGTGAAGAGAGCGAGGTCGTCCAGTCCTGTCCCCTCAGCTGCCTTCTGTTCTGCTCCGTGTCCACCGTGTGCCCTGTGCGCTGATAAGCCTCTGGGCCGTTTCCCAGGACAGTGACCCGGGAACAGGATGACACGTGGGAAGAGAGGAACATGCTTCTTTATGGTTCTCTGTGTGTCTGGCCCGGAGCCACATTGGTTTCCAATGGGCCATTCTAATGGGTCTGACTGGGCATGCCTCACTGATGACCGGCTGACACCTCGGAGGGCCAGCTCCCTCCTGGTGACCACAACAACCACCCCTCCCGCCCCCCTACCCTGTCTCCCCCTCCCGCCCGGGCCTGGGATGGGTCTGGGACAGGTGGGACCTGCCTGGTTTGCTCTCCAGGCCCTGCTGGGGCCGGGGCTTTAGTCACCAGCTTCTTCCTGTTCTGTGAACCCTCAGGCGTCAGGGGACTTCGGAAGTGGGCTGGCGGAGAGCCCGGAGCTTCTCAAGAAGGAAGAGGTGAGTGCCAGCAGGGTCTCTGCCCCGGCCCCCATCCCAGCCTGGGCCGTGCTCCCTCTTTTTTTTTTTTTTTTAAATATATTTTTATTAACTTTAGAGAGGAAGAGAGAGATAGAAACATCAGTGATGAGAGGGAATCATTGATTGGCTGCTTCCTGCACGTTGGACCGAGCCCACAACCCAGGCATGTGCACTTGACCAGAATTGAACCTGGGACCCCCCAGTCCGCAGGCCGGCGCTCTATCCAGTGAGCCACACCGGCCAGGGGCCATGCTCCCGCTCAGTAGAAAATCCGTTTTTCTACTTCTACACGCTCCTGAGTCCCTCAGGTGACCTGACATCCTCACTGGGCCTCCCATTGGCTGGTAGGGCCCCAAGGGACTAGCGAGTAAGAGAAGGGGAAGCCGTGCAGGGCAGCACGAGGCCAGCTCAGTGAGTTTCTCAGCTCACGCTGCTGATACGACGCAGGAGGGAGTGTGTCTCAGGGACGTGAAAGGGGCTGGGCCCTCCGCTCCCATCATCTGTGTCACGCCGTCTGCGTCAGGGCTCGGGCATCCAGGGCGTAACAGGAGGCGTGCTGGGCTGCCCTGGGATGGACGGTCAGCACACACACCCCTCCCCCAGGCAGGGCTTGGGACCCCTGGGCTTGCCAGGGTGGAGGTGGGGCAGGTGGCTCACCCACCTGTATGGTGAGCTCCTGGACACAGGTCAGTGTGTAGTGGCCCAAAACAGCCCCCCAAGGGTCAGGCTGCCTGTGTGTTCCTCCACCGCTAAGCCTCACGGACACGGCTGGATTTGAGATCGTGCACTTTTTCCCGCCGGGCTCCTATCTCCACCTGGGTGCCTGGGCCACACACCAGCCACTGGGGATGCAGTGACCCCACAGAACCATGGTGTGTGAGCTGTGCTGGGACCACAGTGTGAAATGCCACAGCTTGGTGGCCCCTCTTCACACATTGCGGACCAGTAGTGTTATTGCTAGCTTTACCCAGCGGCCAGATAAGTTTCTATTGAACGAGAACAAAAAATGTTTTACATAAATGTTAAAGGCACGCTTTAAAATTAAATAAATACCCATTGCATTTTGAAGTTATTTATTACATGTTCTTACAAGCTAATATCTTTTTAAAGTGTGATACTTTGTAAAACACTGCGTAATATGAAGCGAGAATTCTCGTGATCCGTCCGCCTAATAGCCTGGAGCAGCCGTCGCCAACCTTTCGGACCTCGGACCACCTGTTGGTGACCACTGGCCTGGAGGGTCAAAGACCAAAAATGGGGTCCCTATTTAGTTAGACAGGTTGATCCTGAGCCTGCAGCCTGTCCCTGGCTATGCCTACTAGCAGGCCACTGATGAGCGAGGCTGCTGACCATCAGAGGGACTGGGCAGAAGCCTCTATGGGGTGGGCAGGCCTGGTCCAGGTGGAGGTCCCAGCCACAGGGAAGGCCTGGTGTCCCGGTCTGGCTGCTGCTTGCCTGCCTGGCGGGGGGTGGGGAGGGAGCCCTCAGACAAGACTCCCAGGGTGACCGTCACCCACACACGGCATCCCCAGGGAGTTCATGCCAAATGGGGGTGGCCGGCTGCAGGAAGTGTCTTGCCTGCGTGTTTGAACATCCACTTGCACCCACGTCCTCGACTCCATGGTGCCTCTGGGAACAGGGAAGACCGGTTTTCAGAGCAGAGAGCCTTATGCCCTCCGGGGGGGGGTGGCAGTCACCCAGCCATGGAGTGCCAGGTGGGGCCCTCGCCAAGGACACGCCACAGCCACACCAGCGTGTGCAGTGAACCACCGGATCCCTCCCGAGGGCATCGGTGACAGTGCTGACCACGGCCCTTCTCTGTGGGGCCCACAGGAAGGAGCTGGGCTCTGGAGTGTCCCTGAGTTGCCGCCTGGAGCCCGGGGAGTGGGCGCTGGTCCGTCCCTCGCATGGGGAAGTTGGTGGGCCTGGGGAGTTCAGCAGCATAACCTAAACCTGACATGTGCCAGCACACACATTCACAGGACGTCCAAGTTTGCTGACTAACGGAGCCGTCTTCCCACTCTCACCTTGCCAGGGAGCACCCCTAAAACCCAGCCCCCCCGAGGCTCCCCCGGTCACTTCTCCTCCCTTGGCTGAAGGCAGCCACTCAGAAGATTCCAGAACAGAAGAAATCGAGGAACAAACCACTGTGTCTATATTGGGAGGTAAAGCTCTTGTGGGTGTGTGCGTGTTACTAGTGTGCGTGTTAGTGGTATGTGAGCATGTTAGTGGTGTGTGTGTTAGTGGTATGTGTGCATGTTAGTGCTGTGCGTGTTAGTGCTGTGCATGTTTGTGGTATATGTGCGTGTTAGTGCTGTGTGCACGTGTGTGGTGGGTGAGGCTCTCCCGTCCATCGCAGACAGAAGCCCCAGCCTGGGGAGTGGTCAGCACCGGCCCTGCCCTCTCACCTTGGCACATGTGGGATACCCTGTGGGAATAAGCTGCCCCCGGAGAAACCGGGCAGAGCGGCTGCTGGGACACGTCCTTCTTTCCCAGGGTGTGTTTCTCGTGTCTGTTTCTGGGGTATTTGTGGGACTGTCTGGAGTGTGCTACCGGAGTGCCACGCCGCTGCTCAGCCCGGGGGCCAGGGGGTCGCTAGGGGACATGAGAGCCTCTGTGAGATGGGTCCACCCTGGGATCAGCACGGGGGGTCGGGGACGTCCCCTGGCGGCCTGGGAGGTGCGCTGGCCGAGGGAGTGCACAAGCACAGGCCTGTGGAGCGGGGCAGCGTGCCCGGAATGCATGGGAAGCGGAGTGTGTCAGAGTTCATTGCGGCATCACAACAAACGGCCGCAGATCCAGCCGCGCCGTCTTGCCTCATGGCTCTGCAGGTGGGAGTCCTGCTTGGAGCCCGGGGCTGAGAGCAGAGCCCGGGGCTGAGAGCGGGTGGGCAGGCTGCTCCCCTGCAGGAGGCCCGGGGAGGTCGGGAGAGTCCAGGTGCTTTGCTGCTCTCAGCCAGGGACCATTCTCGGGGTCCAGGGGTCGCCCACATGCCTCAGCGCCTCCTCGGGACCCCGTCCGCCTCACCTCTCCTGCCTGCCTCTTCTGTTTTGGGACCTTGGGTAATGATTGGGTCATACCCCAAATTTCCAGAATAAACTCCCTGTGCTCAAGTCCGCTCATTAGTCACCTGCCAATCACATCTTCACGGTGGTGCCTAGACGCGAGTCAGGCTGAATAACCAGGGAATAGGAATCTCAAGGGACATCTGTGCAGTCTGTCTGCACATTTATGTCGAGGTTTTAGAGCAGTGGTTCTCAACCTTCCTAATGCCGCGACCCTTTAATACAGTTCCTCATGTTGTGGTGACACCCAATTTCATTGTTACAAATTGAACATAATTAAAGCATAGTGATTAATCACAAAAACAATATGTAATTATATATGTGTTTTCCGATGGTCTTAGGCGACCCCTATGAAAGGGTTGTTGGACCCCCAAAGGGGTCGCGACCCACAGGTTGAGAACCGCTGTTTTAGAGGCTTACATAGACCTTTTTCATTTAGAATAAAAGCATTGATTGCGTTTTAAGTTAATAAAATAATACATGGTCAGTGCAGCCAGATTAGAAACAGAAAAGAACGGATGAATGAGAACCGTCGGGGGTTCCCCCAGGATCTTCCCTCCGAGGCTGAGGACGTGCTGCCTGTGGAATCTGTCGGGCACGTGCTTCCCAAGGCGCAGGCAGGATGGCAAGGTGGGTGAACGCCTGGCCCCCCAAGAGTTCTGAGTGAGGGGCACAGGCCCCCTGGGCCATGGGGCAGCCCAGCCCCGCCTCACTGTCCTGTGTGTCCAGGGGCCGTCTGGGCATAAAGTGTGGATCTCGGTTCTTTTATTTTTTGCTTATACAGGCTCAGTTTTTCTAGCTCCATTTATCAAAAAGCGTATCCTCCTCCCCCGCCCCGAGCTGCCTTGGGGCCTTTGCTGAGCACCAGCTGCCGTCTGTGTGGGCCTGTCTCTGGACTCCCCTGTGTCCGTGGGTCTGCCTGTCTGTCCTGACGGTGGGACGCACTGCCAGTGTGGATGCGGCCTTGTGCGGAGGCCCGGGATCAGGTCCTTATTGTTTATCGTCGTTTCCCGGATCCGCCCGTCCCTGACACAACTGCTCTGCTGTTCTCTGTCCTGTGTCTTTTCTTACGAACTTTAGAATCGGTTTGTCGGTGTGTGTTTTTAAGAACAGCCGGCTGGGGTTTGGGTTGGAATGCCGTTGAGTCCATAAGTCAGTATTGGGGGAGGGGCCGGGACAGCTCACGAATACCGAGTCTAAAGAAAGAAAAAGAACACGGAGTCTCCTGACCCAGAAACACAGTCCCTCTCCCTGTACGGAGGTCCCTTTCCTCTTCTCTTAGTGATGCCTTTTCCATTTTAAATGTTCGCGTAGGCGGGGCTTTTAAATCTGCCTTAAATCACACTAATTCCTGGAATGCATCCTGGGCGGTTTCCACCCCATGTCATCGGGGGAAGGGGCTGGGCTGCCCTCCTGAGGCTGACGTGTGACTCAGTGGGTCTTACGGGTGGGGCGTCAGGGCTGCTTGGGCGGCATCCACCTGGCCAGGAGGCAGGGCTCTGAGCAGAGCAGAGGGTGGGGTGGTGGGAGATGCCCACACGTGGATGCAGCTTCGGTTTCTGCTGGAAACAGGACAGGAGTCGCCCAGAGCTCTGCCCGCGGGTGATGCTGTGCAGCCCTGGCAGTGAGCGCTCCCTCGGGAGTCGTCGGGCCCAGGTGGGATGAAGGGCCTCAAATCCGTCCGGTCCCCCAGCCCTGCTGCTAGGCTGCCCCCGGAGCCGGTCAAACCCAGGAGGGTTGGACACTCCTCTGAACTTCCCTCTGAAGACGGGGCCTCTGCAGGTCACCAAGTGCCCGGGACATTGCAACCCAGCACGAGCCCCGTGTTTGCTAGTGGACTCTGTGATGCTGGAATGATCGGGTGAAAGGTTTTGGGGAACATTCTCAAAATTTACCCACAAATTACGTGTCAAGCACAGAGGGTAAGGCGCCCACCCTGCAGCTAGAGAAGAAATTGACAAATGGGAGAAGCAAGGAGCAGGGGCGATGGGGAACGGACACACACACACACACACGCACACGCACACATGCACTCGCACGGCGCTGGCCTGGGCCGCTTCTCTCTGCGGGGTGGTGCGTGCACAGCTCTGGGACATGCGCCGCTCAGGCAGGGCTGATTGCGCCAGAGCTGGCCTCTGGGCAGGATCCTTGGTGGGGCCTGGTTTCCCCACTGTCACCATTTCCCCAAAAGAAGTCACACAGGACACCACTGGGCAGTGGGAAAGCCTGAATCCGGCGGCGTTAGGTCACTGTATGTGACAGTGCTGTTTCCCAAGTGAGACCATCAGGTTGTTCGAGAACGTACTCGTTCTTGGGAGACGTGGCATTCAGGGGGAAGGGTCGTGATTATGCAGGGGATTCTAGGGGCTCGGCGAGAGGAGTGGAGTGTGTGTGTGTGTGTGTGTGTGTGTGTGTGTGTGAGAGAGAGAGAGATAACAGTGAGTGTGAGAGAAGTGGAGTGTGTGTGTGTGAGAGAGAGAGAGAGAGATAACAGTGAGTGTGAGAGAAGTGGAGTGTGTGTGTGTGACAGTGAGTGTGAGAGAAGTGGAGTGAGTGTGAGAGAAGTGGAGTGTGTGTGACAATGAGTGTGGGAGAGAAGTGAAGTGTGTGTGTGTGTGTGTGAGATAACAGTGAGTGTGAGAGAAGTGGAGTGTGTATGTGTGTGTGTGTGTGTGAGTGAGATAACTGAGTGTGAGAGAAGTGGAGTGTCTGTGTTTGTGGGTAATAGTGAGTGTGAGAGAGAATTGGAATGTGTGTGTGACAGTGAGTGAGAGAGAAGTGGAGTGTGTATGTGTGTGATTACTGAGTATGAGAGAGAAGTGGAGTGTGTGTGTGTGAGTGACTGAGTATGAGAGAAGTGGTGTGTGTGTGTGTGTGTGTGTGTGTGTATAACAGTGAGTGTGAGAGAAGTGGAGTGTGTGTGTGTGACAGTGAGAGAGAGAGAAGTGGGGTGTGTGTGTGTATAACAGTGAGTGTGAGAGAGAAGTGGAGTATCGTGTGAGTGTGAGGGAGAGAGAACTGGAGTGTGTGCTTAGGGGCGACGGGCGGCCCTGGAGGGGAGTGTGAGCTGAGGGCAGAGGCTGGGCCATGTTCAGGGCCTGACCTCTGTCCCCCACCCCCAGCTCAGACCCTTCCTGGCTCAAGTACAGTCATCACCTGGGACAACAGCCATGTCCTGGAAGAGGTGAGGCCGCAACCCTGGCCCAGACCCATGGGGGCCCCAGAGTAGTCAGTCCCTCTGGTCCCCTCACTGGTGACCCGACGGAGTTCTGAACCCATACCCTTTCTCGGTGTCCCTACGCCTGGCACCAGGTGGGCACGGCTGGGAGGCTCTGGCCAGAGGATGAGGAGCATGTGGGCAGGGAGAGGGGACAACTGGGCAGGCCCTTGTGGTGCCACCAGCCCGAACCCTGTGCATGTCCACTCTTGCTTGTGTCCCCTGTGTGTCCACCCTGTGTCCCTGTGTGGTACTGACCCAGCCCAGGACCCAGGAGTGGTGGGGTGGGCAGGTAAGCGTGTGTGTGGCCCTCCAGCCTTGCCCTCTCCTCCTCCCAGGGTCTCGCAGGCCCAGTGGTGCAGAGCCCCCATGCACGGGCTGTCCCTGGGCCGCAAGGGCCCCCTGGACCCGCGGGGCCACCAGGGAAGGATGGCGCCCCTGGAAGGGACGGTGAGCCAGTGAGTACACATTTCTCCTCAGTCCCGCTGGGGTGGGGTTCAGGCGGGAAGGGGAGAGGGTGCGGCTGATCGGGCAGAGCAGTGGGCCCTGGGGACCCCGGAGACCCCAGGATGGTAGGCACTGTGTGGGCCGCTCCCCTTCCTGCGGGAGAGCGGGAGGGTGTCGGGGAGGCTGCGGGCAGAGCCAGCTGTGGACGAAGGTGGTCAGACGCTGGGTGGAAGGTGCTTCCCTCCCACACAGACCGCTCTCCCACGGGAGTCAGGGCTGTGGAGGCGTGTGGAGGGGTCCGATTCCACGCCAGATGGGGTGGGGCCCGAGCCGTGAGTCCATCACTAACCACTTCTCTCGCATGTTCCAGGGCGACCCTGGGGAAGACGGAAGACCCGTAAGTGTGCTTTTCTCTCCGAGCCGCCTCTTATCTGACATTCGTGTAAGGCCCTCAGCACTTTTCACCCTGTGACACTCCTCAGGCTCAACACAGTGAAGAGGTTTCAAAATGAAGCCATTTAGAAAATGCAACCTAACTTCACTAAGAAAATACAAGTTAAAAAAAAAAGTATAACTCTTGGTAGAAAAGTATAAAGTTACTAGAGGCTCGATGCACAAAATTCATACAAGGGGCTCAGCTCTCACAGTCCCGGCTTCGTTCTGAAGGTCGTCCAGAAGGACGTCTGGTCTAATTAGCATATTACACTTTTATTAGTATAGATGCCCTGGCCGGTTTGGCTCAGTGGATAGAGCATCAGCCTCCAGACTGAAGGGTCTGGGTTTTGATTCTGGTCAAGGGCACATACCTCAGTTGCAGGCTCGATCCCTGGCCCTGGTTGGGGCATGTGCAGAGGGCAACCAATCAATGTGTCTCTTTCACATTAATGTTTCTCTCTCTCTGTCTCTCCCCCTTCCTCCCACTCTCTCTAAAAATCAATGGAGAGATATTCTCCGGTGAGGATTTAAAAAATAATAAAGTTATGTGTATGTATTGAGTTGTTTAGGCTGATTACCAGGGATAAAAAAGGGGGCGGGGGGAAGGTACAGCTTCCAAATCCTTAGAGGGAAAAAGTGCGTAACAGAAATGAAAGGCTGCCCGCGGTCGGAGGCAGTACACACGCAGCAGGAGACGGTTATTTGCAGGTGTTAGTTAGATTCATTAGCTGCCATCTCAATCCATGTAGAGTTTTTATCTTAAAATTCTTCGTTTGGATTTTTAAAAATCAACAAATACTCGTCCCAAGAAACACAATGAAATGACACAAGAGAGTGACAAAGATTTGGGAAGCAAGAGACCGGCAAACGGCAGCAGGCAGGAGGGAGTGGCACATGACCCACCCCGACAGGAAAGGTAGTACACACATGGCACGAACCCGCGCAAGGGGCAGAGCGCCCGCGCTCCGGTGAGGATGGCCAGGATGCTGCAGGCAGCGCTGGCAGGTTCTCCCAGGAGTTGTCTGTAAGGCGGGGTCACGTGCAGAGCCTCGGGAATCCCCAGGGTCAGGAGTGCCCACCTGCGGTCCCAGCTCAGGCTCAGCTCTGCTCCTCCTCGGTGCTGGGTGCTGGGTGCTCTGAGCGGGAGCAGACATCCAGGGCTCAGCCACAAGCTGCACATCTGTGGCTCAGACGTGATGGGGCAGAGAGGCCTTCTCCCTGCCTAAGCTGCCTGCCTGTCTTCCAGGGTGACATAGGCCCGCAGGGCTTCCCGGGAACCCCAGGAGACGTGGGCCCCAAGGGTGAGAAGGTGAGTCCAGCCTGACCGGGGCTGTGGGTGGACCCCTGATCCATAGCAGGGCTGTGCTCCCTGGTGTAACCGGGCATCTTCTGTTCCCAGGGGGATCCTGGGGTTGGGCCAAGAGGACCCCCAGGACCCCAAGGGCCTCCGGGGCCACCAGGACCCTCCTTCCGACATGACAAGCTGGTGAGTCCTGCACGGGCCTCTTCCACCACGGGGTCCGCCCGCTGTCCCAGAGGAGGGACCCTCTCATCCCCTACGTGGCCTCAGACCTGGAGCCAGCCGTCCTGGGGGTGTCTGGGCCCAGGGGAGTCAGGTGTCTGAGCCTATGGTGCCCAGGGAGTCGGGCAGGGGCCCTCCGGTTGGTTCTGGGCCTCAGAGGGGCCTCCTTCACGCTTCTTTCACTCAGTGGAGAGGGTGGGGTGTTCACTTTCACTCAATGGAGAGGGTGGGGTGTTCACTCTCTCTCTGCTTCCGTCTTTCCCTGGTGGTGAGATGGGAAGTGCCTAGGGGACAGCATAGTGCAGGGGGGTGGGGGATGGGCTCCCCTGAGTGCAGACAGGGCTGGGCCGGGGCACAGCTCAGGGCTCTGGGTGACGGTGTCTGTGCTTTCCCTCAGACCTTCATCGACATGGAGGGGTCCGGGTTCAGCGGTGACCCCGAGAGCCTTCGGGTGAGTGTCCCTCTGCCGGGGTTCTCCGTGACAAGGGGACCGGAGGGGAGGGGGGTCAGGGTGGGGCGATGGGGGGCGGGGGCGCTGTCCTTTGGCGGGTGCTATGTGCATGACTGTTCTGTTTTTCTGTGTCCAGGGCCCGAGAGGTTTCCCTGGCCCTCCCGGGCCCCCCGGCGTCCCAGGCCTTCCCGGAGAGCCAGGCCGATTCGGGGTGAACAGCTCCGTCATCCCAGGACCTGCAGGCCTTCCCGGTGTGCCTGGGCGGGATGGACAGCCTGGGATCCCCGGCCCCCCAGTAAGACCTGCCTCCCCTCAGCTGCCCTTGTCCCTATCAGGGTCGGCTGGGAATGTGGGGGAACACTAAGTGTGGGGGCCTCTTCCTGTCTGGGCAGAAGCTCCCCTCACCGCCTCTACTCTGTCCTCAGGAGGGAGGGCTCCCCACTCTCGGTCGGGAGGAACCTGATGGTTCGGGCCCTGACCCGCCGGGTGACCGCATGCAATGCCAGTCACCTCTCTGTCCCTCAGTGGGCAGCCGACCTCACAGAGGTCGTCTCCAGGGGTGATTTTCATGGGGTCAGGGTGGGCCCACTGCCTGAGGACCGGGGGCTGTGAGGGGCCCATGTTTGGCCAACTCACCATTCACAGGGGTCTCAGAGCCCGGCTACTCCCCTGCTCCTGGCACTGGGAACAAACACAGGGGCCTGGTGATGCCCACAGATGTCACTATTGCAATCAGGTCACAGAAACCAGGTGCGGGGAGCCTGGTTTCCACTTGATAGCGTGCTCTGGGTGCGTAATTCACCAGGTGTGGAGTCATCCTACTGACAGCACGCCCTCCCACTTCAGTGAGAGTCCACCCCAACATCGTGGGTGAGGCAGCCCCCTCACCAGGGGTCCAGAGGCCCCTCAATTTGACCAGCAATTCCACCCCCAACCCAAAAAAAAGGAAAGAAATTTAAAATCTGGGTGGAGCAGCATGAGCTTCCTGACCTGTGTTACTGTGAGCCACGGGGTTTGGGTGTGTCCTTGATCCTCAGGAAATCTGTGGACACCCAGATCATCTGCTGACCCACCTTTCTCAGCTGCTGAATTCACTCTGCTTTCTCTCCTTCAGGGACCTCCAGGAACCCCAGGAAAAGACGGGCGGCCAGGAGAGGCCGGCCAGAAAGGCAGCCTTGTAAGTCACTTCTCCAGGTGTCCAGGGTGGATGTGTCCTGCAGCCAGAGGGTGACCAAACCCTGCATGTGGGGTTTGGCCCTGGTGACTTCATGAGGAGAAATGCCATCAGGGCAGCAACACCCAAGGTTGTGGGTGGCTTTACTAACAGGCAGCTACCATCACCACCGTCGACACAATGCGACAGCAGGGTCCTCGGGCTCCCCGAGTTTGCTCAGAGCCTCGGCTGGCTGGGCTCGTGTGAAAATTCAGGGCCTCGTTACCACTGTTTCTCTGGACTGATGATTTTTGGACTGATGTTTTTGAAGAATATTAACACTTCATTTAATTTGGACGTTTTATTTCAAGTTTCAACTGTGGTTGCATCGGTAATGGAGAAATTTTCAAGGCTGCACAAACCTCTAATTGGGGTTGTGGTTTCCTTCTGGTTTTCTGCGAATGAGGGCGGGGCTGGGGGTGTGCCAACCCACAGCCATTGGAAGATGCTTCCATGTGGCACCATCTGTGAGCACACGGCTACTTTGGGCTCAGCCGAGGGGGTGGATTTTAAGAGAACCCCTCTGCTCAGAGCTCCTCACTTCGGCCACCTGAGCTAGAAGGGCTCTCCTGTGCATTCGCTACTTGGCACACAGTTGTGGGACGGGCTCTCGGCAGCGGTTCAGTACTGGCCCCCACGGCCGAGCCTCCCCTGGGGCCTCTGTCCCCGCCTGGAACAGGCAGTGGTGGGAACAGCCAGAGAGGTACACCAGGCCAAGAGGGGCGCTTGGAGTGTTAGATGCACGTCTTGTGGGAGCAGCAGCGAGGCATCGCAGCTCCCAGGTCCAGAAGAGAGGGAAATCACAAAGGAATAAGTCTACAGGAATGGGGACATAGTGGCCTGTGGGCCGGGATAAAGGGATGAGACCCTGCGTGCTTTCCTCTTGCTGGCTGCTCACTGGCCTGTTTGTATAGTAATTATTCTCTTTCCTGCAGGGCAAAGTGGGCACCCCAGGACCTAAGGTAAGATAGACTTCCAGGTCGGGAGTGGCCACTGGGTGGACGTAGGCCCCGCCCCCCACGAGGGCACAGGAGTGGGCAGGCAGGCTCAGGGGCCAGGGAGCTGTCCTTGGTGCTGATCACGGGCTCTGTCCATCCTGCTGTGGTCAGGACTGCCTGGGCCAGAGAAAGGTGCCCTCCTGCCATTAGGCAGGGCATGCTGCCAGCATAGGGCAGTGGTCACACGTGTGCCCTTGTTGTGTATCAGTGGGCTTGGAGTGTCCTTCACAGCCCTTCCCAAATCTGGTCATGTCCATTTACAGATGAGGGAACTGAGCTCAGGGGTCAGGTGGCCACAAGGGGGTGGCACTGGTCCAGTTTTGGACTCAGCACGAGGGCCTCCCTGTCTGGGGTCCCAGTGTCCTTCTCTCTTGCACTGGGCTCCTGCCTGACCTTGGGATTCTCCAGCTCTGAGCAGTAGGTCTGTCTCTGAGACTGGAACCCCACATTGTACCTGCGTCCTGGCTCTTGCTCCTCCCTTAGGCTGTGTCTCATGTCCCACCCCCCCCTCACCCCAACTTCTGCGGTGGTAATGGGGTACCAGGCCTTCCAGACTCACTCCAAGCCCCCCTGCCTCCTCCCCAGGCTCCTTCCAGCAGCACCCTTCTCCGTCACCTACCATAGCACCCCCTGGCTGTCCATCTCCATCCCCACCAGCCCCAGCTGTGCAGCATGCTCTGTGCATGGTGCACCCCAAACCATGAGCGACTCGCATCTCGCTCCCCTGGAATGAACATCTCAGTTATTTCATTTTTAAGTGGATGAAATCCTCTCGTAAATTCAGAAGAGAGGTGCAGCAGGGTTTGCTTGCTTCATGGAACAGTATTTATCTCTGTGGCTTTGCAGATTTGTAAAAAGCTTTGTAAGGAAATGTAGGTGTGTTGGGGACACAGTGGCTGCCTCAGGGTTCAGCCGACACCCACCCTGATGGCCCAGAGTGATGACATTGTCTCCCCACCTGTGCAGGGAAGCAAGGGAGACCCCGGCCCCATGGGTGCTCCTGGAGAGAACGGCTTGGCAGGAGCCCCCGGACCAGCAGGACCACCAGGGACCCCCCGGGCCCCCCGGGCCTCCAGGACCAGGACTTCCCGCAGGGTTTGTGAGTACCAGCTGCTCCTGGCCCCAGAAAGCCTCAGTCTGTGCCCCACGGCTCCTCCCAGCATCTCACACCGACTGCCCGTAGTGGAATCCCCATGTGTGAGCTGTGAGCGGCTGGGCGGGCTCAGCAGAATGGGCTGGCTGGCACAGTGAGTGTGGGTGTGTCTCCTGAGTCCCACCACTGCCTGGACAGTGCCTCATGGTGGAGCCATGGCCGCTGGGAGGGAACAGGCTCAAATGGTCTCTGCTCGGGGACCATGTCCCACGAGTGATGCTGAAGGGCTGCTCCAAGGAGACAAAAGCAGAAACTGAGCGCCATTACTCAGCCAGGTCCCTGGCACACATGTGGAGCAAGAACGAGTGACCTAAACCTACGAGGCTCTGTGAACGGGCCCCCATCCAGCCAGCCCCTGCCCCCAGCCAGACCCTTCTTATTTGAGGACGAGGATGGCTGCTGCCAGGCGACCGGGCCCTTGGTGTCCGCCCGCTCAGCCATGGCCAATCTCCACCTCGGGCCAGTGGCCGGCCTCAGAGAGGGTCTCTTTCTTTAAGAAGAGACACAGACCCGAGTCACTGTGTTTTCCAGGATGACATGGAAGGCTCCGGGGGACCCTTCTGGTTGACGGCCCGAGGCGCTGATGGGCTGCAGGTACTGCTTGTGAACAGGTTTGGTCAGCTCTGGGGTGCAGGGGCACCTGGGGCAGGGGCGTCCCTGGGACAGGCCTGAGTGGGGACCAAGAGCAGCACTAGAGAGCCAGTGAGACCAACTGAGTCTTGGGCACCGTCCACCCTGGAGGTTCTCCCACGTGGGAACATGCCCTGGTGGTCGAGATGAATGAATGTGGGGTGGAATGAGCCCTGAAAGATGCTCCTTCCTGCTAAATCTCAGTCACTGAGTTCTCTGGCTTGGTGCCTCAGCCATCTCAGCTAGAGGGAACAGCCAGACAGACACTATGTCCATAGCCAGGATGGCTGTACCATCTGCTCAGCGCCTTGCCTTCTATGTATTAGAACATCTCAGTTCTTGTCAGTAGCAATTCGCTGCCCTGGCTCACATGAGGTGTGAGCCAGGAGGTGAGAATCGTTGCTGTGACACAGAGGTGGGGAGGATCTCGTGGGCAGAGGCAGCGAGGTCGGGGGCACAGGTCCCCTCTTTGAGGATTCCAGGCCCAAGCACACAGCTCCAAGGCCCCTTGACCTCTAGAGGGGTCTGTGGGACTGTTTCAGGCCTCCGAGGTGAGGTGATGGAGACCCTCAGTGGTCACAGTGCTTATTTTTAAGTCACATGCACTTATTCTTAGTTAAATAAAATGCAAGTTTATTGGTGTTGGGGTGGTCTGAGCTGATGTTCCTGGGGGGCTGGCACGGGTCCTGGCACGCCCACTGCAACTAGTTGGTGTCATGTCTGTGGGCCCTAGAGGGTGTCGAGGACAAACCACCCCTTGGTGGGATCTTAAGGGTGGGGCGCTGGCTCCTCTTGACAAACTTGATTTTTTTTTCCGTTTTGTTGGGAGCGGGCAGCTCTGGGAAGGGCTTGTTTTCTTGTGGGAGGGAGAAGCTCCCAGGAGAGCCAGGCTCTGAGGGCCTCTTCCCTCTCTTGCCCCCACAGGGACCGCCCGGCAAGCCTGGGGCCAAGGTAAGCACGAGATTAGCGAGCGATGCTCCTGCCACACTCCGCCCAGCCAGGAGTTACTACTTCTCGCCCCCAGGTCATCGTGGGAAATGTGGGGACAATAGTTACTCACTCTAACCCAGCGCCTGCATGTTGGGGTGTGGTGGGGGGTCTGGTCCATCTTTCTAAAGCCGTGTGACCTGAGATCTCTGGCCTCACACATCTGAAGTGTGTGCTGACTTGGGGAGAAAAGGGGGCTTTGGAGGGACCCCTACAGCCTCCAGGACAACAGATGGTGCCCGGAGACCCTGGGGGCTTCTCTTGGCCTTCCCCCCACCTCGTCTTGTCTCCTCCTGCTTTCTCTCCGCTCTCCAACCTATCCCTGAAGGACAGCTGCCCCTCTGAGGCGGTTGCCCCCCTCCCCATGGGTGATGAGGGCTAGAGGAGCCCCAGGAGGGGTTGCCCCTTGGGGTGCTCTGTGCTCCTGCTCACTCCCCGAAGGCCTCTAAGGCAGAGGTCCTCACACTTTTTAAACAGGGGGCCAGTTCACTGTCCCTCAGACATTCCACACATGTGCACTGCGGGCCGGGGACGAGTCGGCTGCTAAGCAGGACAGGCAGCGGCGGCAAAAACACCCCGGTGGGCCGGATAAACGTTTTCGGCGGGCCGCATGTGGCCCGCGGGCCGTAGTTTGAGGACCCCTGCTCTAAGGTGTGCGGGGCCCACTGTGGGGTCAGCCCCTGCTATTCCACCTCTTACTTCCAGAATGTTCTGCTCTGATTTGAAAAACTTTGGGACATTTCAAAAATTGAGTTTTTAGAAGTATGTACCTATTAGATTAAGTTGTAAAAAATGAAGCCATCTCATAGAACGACATGATGGCCTGGCCTCCAGAACAGCTTTTAGCATGTGCCTTTAGCATGTGGCCAGCCCTCAGCCGTGCCGGCCGCAAAGTCCCTGCACACGGTGCTCAGTGTCCCCTGGACACTCAGCTCTGAGCTGGGCGAGGGGCAGTGTGAGAAGCTACCTGAATAACTAACCCTTTCTTACCTTTCTCTGGGGGCGGGTGGATGTCGCCATGGGGTTGGGCCTGCCCAACACTGCACTCACAGACCCCTTCATCCACTTCAGGGGGATCCTGGAACAGCTGGCCCACCAGGGACCAAGGTAAGAACCTTCCCTCGGGTCCTGGAAATCAGCAATCTTCATTAGCCCTGGTCTGGGGGCAGGAAGGGGTCCTTGGCCTGCGCCCATTGGCTCCTTTGGCCTTATCGGCCCAGTCCCCTTGCAGCCTCAGTAAGAGGCTCCCCTCCAGGCCCGGCCCAGCATCATATCATTCTCCCACTCTCCCCTGGTTCATCCCGTGCCGTCTCGGCCCTGACTTAATTCCTCAGAATTTAAGACCTACTTGTCTTAAAGGCACTCACCTCCACCTCACCCCCTCTCCCCTAGACTTTCCTGTTGCTTACTGGCTCTGCTGCAGAAATCATGGGAACCACACGTGTCCTCTGACCCTCCTCCAACCCCTGGCCCCCAGCCCCCTCCTGCCCTGCTCGACCCCTAAGTGTTTCTAGGAGGCTGAGCCCCCGCCTGTCACCTCCCCGGCACCGGCTCACTGGGCCGTGTCTGACTCATGGTCCGCTCCTCGTGTCCTTTGCAGGGAGAAGTCGGTGCAGACGGACCCCCCGGGTTTCCTGGCCTTCCCGGCAAAGAGGGCATAGCTGGAGCCCAGGTAGGTGACCACCCAGGGCTGCCAGGGGGGTGATACCCCGAAAGTGAGAGCTGGCACTCAGTGTGTCTCTCAGGCCATCTCCCAACTTAGTTCTCTGTATGCCAAGGGGCCTGGAGACTCCACTCCCTGGGATGAGTCGGGAGTCCAGGCTGCCTGAGGGAGCTTCCTGTGGTTGCCTGGCTCATCTACCACCCTGCTCCCACCCCTCCCTCCCCGCAGCCAGTTGGTCAGAGAACTCTCCATACCTCATTCAAAGCGGGTCCCAGCCGTCCAGGGTGTCCTGGGGTCGGGGAGGGTGGCTCGTGTTCTGTTTATGATGAAACGTTTCCTTCCTGTCTCTGCAGGGACCAAAAGGAGAAAAAGGGACCCAGGGAGAGAAAGTGAGTGGGGGGCAGGGGGAGGGGTTGGGTGCACAGGTGGGGTGGTGGGTGCATGTGGGAGGCTGCCCTCTGCCCCACCTGTTCTTAGAGACTTGGGGTGAAGACCCTCAAATCTGAGGGCTCTCCTCACACCCTGTCAGCTCTGAGGTCCCAGCCCTGAGCCCCTGTAACAATTCTACCCCTACAAGCAACCCAAGCACTGGACACCAGCTTCTTCTTCCAGGGTGACCCAGGGAAGGACGGAGTGGGGCAGCCAGGGCCCCCCGGGCCCCCCGGACTCCCGGGGCCCGTCGTCTACGTGTCGGAGGAGCAGGACGTAAGGACACTGCATGGGTGGGCACATGCTCTGCCTGGACCCCAGTGCAGGGCTGACCCCCAACTGCCAGGGGCCACGCTCTGATGGGCTAGGAGGACGGTGGTCAGAGCCGCCAGCCCTCCCCCCATAGGTTGACCCCCAAGGACATCGGGGTGTCCAGTCTTGGTTCTGCGGGGCTTCTCGTCGAAGCCAGGCCTTCCAGCAGCCCGTGTGGCTGAGTTGCCCCCTCCGGCCCCCATTGTACAGCAGGGGAGGCGGGGCACTGGGCCCCTGGTCCCAGGGTCCTGGGCGGTTCTCCAGTCCAGGAGGCGGCTCCCAGAAGTGGCTCCACTTCTCCTCTGAGGGACCTAGGGCACAAGCCAGGAGGGTTGAAAGCAAAACACTGCCCCATGTTTGATTTCTGGAGTTGTCCTGTTTGTCTTGTGACAGTGGTGAGAGTGGAATTTTAATTGTATACGTGGTTTTCTTTTCATGATTTCGTGTTTCTGCCGGCTTGGTGACAGAGAGCGGTGTCCGTAACCCATGGAGTCAAGGTACGTGCCGCCCTGCCTGGAGTGCGGTCTGGCTGCACGGCGCCGGTCGGCGTCCCCCGTGACACTTTTGCTCTCTCCCACAGGGCCAGCCGGGGTACGCAGGCCTCCCCGTAAGTAGCCTCAGCCCCACCCCCGCCCTGGCAGGGAGCAAAGTTTCCATGTTGTGAGGAACCTTTTGACCCCTTAGCAGGAGCCCCCCAGGGTCTAGCAGGGGGTCTCGGGCCTGTAACTGGTCAGGACCACGAAGCAGGTGCATCCTGGGAGATGAGCGGGGAGGGAGCGTGAGTGGCCATCATGGGGACTGGTCGCTCGAGCCCCTCCAGGGCCCTCCACTGCCCACGCCCACATTCCTGCCTGTCTCCCTGCAGGGACCAGCTGGGCCGAAGGGAGACACGGGCGTCAGTGGCCAGCCAGGCCCCCCGGGACCCAAGGTGAGGAGTTGGATGTCATCCGCTCAGGGGTCGGCCCCTTCTGTGAACCCTGAGGGGCAGTCCTGGTGCACCCCGGTGACCACTCCCTGGGAAGGCGGGGGACCTGGGCTCTCCCACGGACTACCTGAAGTCTGGGACAGATTCTCCTCTTAGTCACTCAGTGTGACCCATGGGGGCCCACCAAGACTCCCAACCACAGAGCCCCAGAGGGCAGGCCTGCTTACATGCACCCATTCTGGGGAATTCATGTGGACCCCGGAGTTGGGGCTCTGCTGCGGTGGTTGGAGGGCCCTCTCCCTGGAGCTGACCTCCCTGACTGCGCTGCTCGCGTTCTAGGGTGAGAAGGGTGAGCCCGGCATGGTCCTCAGTCCTGACGGCAGAGTGCTGCCCCCTGCCCAGAAAGGAGCCAAGGTGAGCCACCGGGCCTTGCTTTTCTCTCCTGTACCAGCTGGGGAGCAGGGTTTCCAGGGACCAGGGAGCCAGCATGGGCGGGGGGGGGGGTCGTCTTCCTGAGAGGGGCCAACTCCTGGCCATGCACGGGTTTTGGAACCTTCCACAGCCTGGGCTCCCTTGCCCTTCCCTGTCTGTTCCTCTTGCACAACCACATTGGGAGGGTTCTGCAAGCTCAGATGCACTGCAGCCCAGCTGGCCCTTGGTCACATCCTGCCTCCGTTGGCTGAGCCAGTCCTGCATGGGGCCTGGGGGCACTCCCGGCCACGGCTCTGGGCTCACGCCCTGGCCCCGCCTCACCTGCAGGGGATGGAGCCCCCAGCTTTGCCCAGTGGGAGCTGCCCATCCTGCTGTGTCTACTGCCTCTCAGCCTCAGGACTGCTGCTGGGGTCCTGGCCCTCCTTCCTCAGGAGGGAGCAGGACCTGGCTGGGGTCAGGCATGGGCTCCTTGAGGGGCCTGTGCCCTGTGTCCCCTGCCCCAGCAGATGACCCTCCAGACGGGCCCTTGGGTGGGTCCTGGGAGTAACTGGACCCGATCGGGTGGCTGTAGGTGCAGGCCTGCAGGGGCCTGGGAGCCCTCAGGATTGTTGGGGATGGCCGCGGGACCTGGGGTCCCAGGCCCAGAGAATACTCTGCCAGCCCCACCGGGCACTGTACCTGAGGTCAGGACCAGGGTGACTCTAACCAGGACACTGCAGGGCAGCCTCCCAAGCTGCAGGCCTCTCAGGGACCAGCTGGGCCCCATTCATCCCCCTGGGACAGGACACCATTCCAGAACCTTCTCTCTGCTGTTGTTTCCTTCCCTCCTCGGTGATCAGCGCTTCAGTGCTGCCCGGAGGGCATCCAGATGGGTACAGGGACCCCGCAGGGCTGCCTAAGGAGCAACCAGATGGGCACAGGGACCCCACGGGGCTGCCTAAGGGGAATGACCTGGAGGGCATCCAGATGGGCATGGGGACCCTCTGGGGCTGCCTAAGGGGAATGACCTGGAGGGCATCCAGATGGGCACAGGGACCCCACGGGGCTGCCTAAGGGGAATGACCTGGAGGGCATCCAGATGGGCATGGGGACCCTCTGGGGCTGCCTAAGGGGAATGACCTGGAGGGCATCCAGATGGGCATGGGGACCCTCTGGGGCTGCCTAAGGGGAATGACCTGGAGGGCATCCAGATGGGCACGGGGACCCCGCGGGGCTGCCTAAGGGGCATCCAGATGGGCATGGGGACCCCGCGGGGCTGCCCGGGGGGATGACCTGCACAGTCACCTAACAGTGCTTCTGGTTTCTGTTCAGGGGGAGCCCGGCTTCCGAGGACCTCCGGTGAGTAGGCCCCACTTCCCCGCCATGCACATGCGTGTGCTGTGCTCTGAAAAGCACTGTCCCCGCCTGGCTACTGGAAAGCACGAGTGACCAGAGCTGACATCCCAGCTTCACGTCCAAAGCTCAGGACAGGGGTTGGTGGGAGACCACAGCGGGGTCTACCTCTGCTCGCCTGAAAGTGGCTCCTCCTCTCTGCAGGGTCCATACGGACGGCCTGGGCACAAAGGAGAGATTGGCTTCCCCGGGCGACCGGTAAGGATCGAGGATCTTACTGTGTAGGTGGTGGGGGGACAGGTAGAGTGTGGCCCAGCCCGGGGGGCAGTGGGCTCTGAGGGGAGTGGATTGCCATCCTTCCCACTGCCTTCCACCTAAGGTGGCCCCTGCCGGAACATGGCTCTCTTTGTCTCTTTGGGACATGGGTGAGGAGGCCCTGCTCATGGACAGCTCAGACCCGGGAGGCGGGGGTGGGGACAGGAGTGTCTGGGGCCTGACGGCTGGGGTGGTGTGAGGCTGGAGTGGGATGGGTCTGTCCTGGTGGGGACTGAGATGGTAGCTGAGGCTGAGGTCTTGGCCAGCACCCAGCAGTTCCCCCCTACACTCTCCCCAGGGCCGTCCTGGGATGAATGGATTCAAAGGAGAGAAAGGGGAGCCAGGAGACGCCAGCGTCGGATTTGGTGCACGGGTGAGTGTCCTGCAAGGGCAGACAGGGCACGACCGGGGCCCCCAGCACCCAGAATGGCCTGAGGGGAGCAGCCTCGGGTCCCAGGCTCGTCTTCAGGAGGCTGCTTCTGAGGGGCCCTGTGGTGTGACCACGCTGTGCTTGTCCTCTGACTCGCATGCGCATACGTGCACGCACACACACGGCTCTAGCTACTTCTCGGAAGGTCATCCAGGTCAGCGTGGGGTCTGAGCTCCAGGGTTGTCTTCACGCAACACCACGTTGTTACTTGCAGTAACTCTGCCATCTTTTGGGCCAAGGGTTTTATTTTAGCAATGTTGGCAGGGGAGGGCATGTAGCCATTTCGTCCTGAGAGTTGGGGCTTGCTTCTGACACACCGGGCACCCAGTGCCCCTCCTGCCACACTCGTGCATTCTCTCCGGGAAGCCCAGCCGCACCCCAAATCTCAGCCTGGGCCCCTCCCGCCCCTCCCTGGTCCCTGTCCCGAGCTCCCACAGCTCAGCCAGATGGGACGGTGGCCCTGAGCCGTGTTCCAGGCAGTCGCTGTTCCAGTTTTGTATTTGTTGCTGGTTCTTCCTGGGAGCTTCTTTCCCTCTTGTTGACTGAGACTGGGCCGTTGTGAAAAACTAAGACTAGAAGTCAGCACTTTTCAGGGTTCTGATGCAGTGATGGAACAAGAGGTCACATTTGTGAATAAGGAAGAGAGGCTCTTGAATTCTTTTTATGCTGTTGAGTTTTATTTTGTATATATATATATACATATATATATATGTGTGTATATATATATATATATGTGTGTGTATATATATATGTGTGTATATATATATATATGTGTGTGTATATATATATGTGTGTATATATATATATATGTGTGTGTGTATATATTTATTTATTTATTATTGATTTCAGAGAGAGGAAGGGAGAGGGAGAGAGATAGAAACATCAATGATGGGAGAGAATCATTGATCAGCTGCCTCCTGCACATCCCACACTGGGGATCGAGCCCGCAACCCGGACATGTGCCCTGACCTGGAATTGAGCCATGGCCTCCTGGTTCATAGGTCGATGCTCAGCCACTGAGCCGCGCTGGCCAGGCAGCTGTTGAGTTTTAAAGGCGGCTGTGAAATGGCTGCTCATGTGCCCCTGGTCAGGTGCGTCCCACCTCTGGTTCTGCTTCTGTCTCTCCCTCCTCGGCCACACTTGGACAGTGGTAAGGGAGGACCACTGTGACTTTAAAAAATGCTGCTGCCCACATCTCCCGCCCCGGCCAGTGTCGATGGCCTGGCTGTGGACGTGACTGACCAGAGCTTTCTGTTCCCTCCCAGGGTCCACCTGGCCTCCCAGGGCCTCCAGGGCCACCAGGGCCGCCAGGCCTTCCCGGGAGCCCTGTCTACGACAGCAACGTAAGTCGCCTGGTACCGCTCGCTCGCCCCCTCCCCAGTCCTGAGACAGAGTCCTCGGTTGCTGCCACCTTCCCACCACCAACCCCCATGGACCCCAGGGAGGGGTGGCCCAAGCCCCTGGAGGCTTCCTTCCTCTGAGTAGGGGAGATGGGGTCCTTCTGGGAGGGTGGGCACCGGGCTGCCTGCCTTGGGGGCCACAGTCAATTAGAAGATCAGCCCCCAGGAAAGTACAGGCAGGGCAGGGGGCAGGGAGAGCTCTCTGGATCTGGGTACCTGAGCCCCAAGACCCATTGTCCCTGGGAGGGTGGACATGCCGTTTGACGAGGCTCAGAGACGTGAAGTGCACTCATGAGGGGCTCCTCCTGTCGTGACCAGGTCTCCTGATTCCAAACCCCGTGTCCTCTCCTCCCCCTCCCTGCCCCCCTGTCTCCAGGTGGGGGTGGAGGGTGCCTCTGCGCCCTCGAAGAGGGTGCTGGGGCTTCTGGGCTCAGAGACCCCTGGGTGGGTGGTGACCTCAGTTCCCAGTGTCTCCCTCAACAGCTATCTTTGGCCCACTCTTTGCAGGCATTTGTGGAGTCTGGCCCCGTGGGACCTCCTGGTTTGCCAGGTGAGGGCTCCTGGCGGCCCTGGAAGAGCTGGGGGTGGGCGGCCCCTTCCTGGGGTGCTGGATGCTCCAGGACTTGGCACCCCCTGCTCACCCGGCTCTGAGGCCACATGAATTCCCTGGGGACCTAACCTTGGGTGGGAGTGGACACAGGGACCACCCACTTGCTGCCCACAGTTTAGATCGGGCTCCAGAGGGCATGCTACTCCCACACATTCAGTCATGGGCACTGGGGTCTCCATTCCTCCAGGGCACCAGGGGCCTTCTGGACCAAAGGGGGACAAAGGAGACGTGGGCCCGCCCGGGCCACCAGGTGAGAGTGCTGGGCGGCCCTGGGCTGAGGGGCTGCGCTGGGGGGTGCTTGCCCTGCTCTCCGGGAGGAAGGAAACCCCTTCTGAGCTCGGGGGGCCCTCACAGGACCTGTAGGGCATGGGCTGGACTCAAGGACACCTGGTTGGCCTCATCGCCACCACAGGGCCCAGGGCGGCAGACTGTGGCCCGGCAGCATGTCCTGTCACCCCACCTGCTGAGAAGCAGGGCTGGGCGCCAGTGTGTGTCTCCCAGAGAAGACCTAGCCCTCCAGTGGGGATGCTGAGGGGCATGTGGGAGGAGGAGAGAGGTGCAGCATTGTGCTGGGAAAGGGGCTCCGCTGCAGCTGGTGGAGTGTCCATGGGAAACGGACCCCCTTCCTCAGTGGGGTTGTGAGGCTCCGGAGTCGGGGCCCAGGTGGGATGTCTGTGGTCCTTGCTGCGGGTGCAGGGCCTGGCCAGGGGAGAGGCAGGGAGGGAATACATGGTGTACATTTTTGGAAAGGAAGAAATAAACCTGCCATTTTCATAGACAACATGTTTTTGACCAACAACCCAAAAGGAATCGCAGATAAACAGTTAGAATTAATAAGTACGTTAATCAAGGTCACGAGGGCAATTTACAAAATCCATGACAGTCAGTCATAAACAACATAGAAATTTTTAAAAGTTACCATTTAGAAAGATATCAGATTGGTCACTGTCAGGGGTGGGTATGGGGGGAGGGAGAATTGGACGAAGAGGTCAAAAGGTACAAACTTCCCAACTTTTTCCTTTTTGTACCCATATGAGATGATGGCTGTTAAGTAAACTTACTGATCACTTCCCAGTATATGTAAGTCAAGTCATCCTGCTGTACGCCTTGCACTCCAACAGTGCTGTGTGTCAGTTATAGCAATAAAACTGAACGGGATAAAAAGGCACCATTAATAAACACATCCCCCCCTCAAAAAAAAAATAACTGGCAATAGGTGTAAGAAAATAGGCAAAGAATCTCTACAGAAATACAAAACGTTTATAGAGAGAGATGAAAAGATGCAGATGGATGTGTCTGGGTGGGGTTGCGGGCGGAGAATAAATGAAAGAGGCTGTACAGCGTCTCATTGAGGCCCCATCCGAAACCTCCTGTAGGCCAGTTCCCGTTCGACTTCCTCCAGCTAGAAGCTGAACTGAAGGTGGGTGACCCCTGACCCCTGCGCTGAGCCCTCCTCACTCCACTGGCCCCCCCAGGACGGGCACTGGCCATCCCTGGCGTGGTTTTGTGGGGACTCCCCGGGGTGCAACGAAAGGCCTGCCGGGCCTGGGCTCCGGGCGCTCCCCGCTGCCTCACCCTGCCCACCTCCAGGCTGGCGGGGGTCAGCACCCACCCCTCCCCACACCAGCAACCAGAGCTGGCCTGTCTGAAACAAGCATTTCCGTCCACAGGGGGACAAGGGGGACCGAGGGGACACCGGGCAGAAAGGAGAAAGGGGTGAGCCCGGCGGCGGATTCTTCGGCTCTGGTGTGCCTGGACCACCCGGCCCGCCAGGCTACCCCGGGATTCCGGTAAGTCTGGGCTTCAGGCCACCCTGTAGGTGCCCACACACAGACCCAGGCCTGTGCGTGTTCCCAGAGGCCCCTGGGGCCAGGAGCCGAGCACAGGGCCAGTCTGGCCATGAACACCCGATGAGGCTCACAGGCTGCGCCCTGCAAACGGCCCCAAACACTTCCATCCTGGTTCTGCCCTGGGGGGGCATTGGCAGGCCCGGTGGGTGCACAGTCACTGGCCCCCACCAGGGTGGGCACACCGACTGGCAGTGTCCAGCAGGGAGGTGGGGGACAGGGTGGAGCCCCCACCCAGCTCCTGATCTTCTGCTGGCACTGTTCCTCCTGATGGGGACCCCACCAAGTCCCCTCAGGGAGACCCGTGGCCCTGAAAGATTCCAGCGAACAGTGGGCCCAGCTTCTGCCTTGGGGGTAGAGGGAGATTAGGGGCCCTTGGGGGCCACACCTGTGTTCAGAGGCTGCTCTGGTGCACGTGCTGGGGTCAAACCCCAGCAACAGGGATGGGGGGTAGGGGTGGGGTGTCCTCCCGGGCCTTGGGGCATGGGAGGGAGGTGACATGGCTCAGAGGCCGTGCTTCCTGCAGAGGTTCTTGGCAGATGCCTCCCGGCCCCTCAGACTTCAGTGGCCTTGGCCGAGGGCCCTAGCTGACATCAGCACTTGTCTTGTTGTCCGTCCTAGGGTCCTAAAGGAGAGAGCATCAGGGGCCAGCCTGGCCCACCTGGACCTCAGGGACCCCCTGGCATTGGCTATGAAGGGCGCCAGGGGCCTCCCGGACCACCTGGCCCTCCAGGGCCTCCAGGACCCCCTTCCTTTCCTGGTCCCTACAGGCAGAGTAAGTTGGGCGAGGAGTGGTCTGGGCTCTAGCCTCGTACCGCTGGGGCTGGTGTGTTCTCACTCTGGCTTCTCTCTTGTAGCTATCAGCGTTCCTGGCCCCCCAGGCCCACCTGGGCCCCCAGGACC